TAACCTGCGTCACCTTGTCGGTATGAAGCATTATCGTGTTCACGTGGGTGTATTCAGCCAGTCCGTGGTCTGAAGGTGTGTCTCCTTTTTCAGGTTTGTCGCTCCTCAATGCGCTACCTGGCCCTGATGATCTCACGACCTGTGCTAAAGCTGAAAGAAATCAACCCTCTGCTGTTCAACTTTGTGGAGGAACTGGTGGAGATCAGGGTGCGTAGCTTCAATTTTACTCAAGCTGGATGAAACAAATTCCACAGTTCTATTTGTATTTGACGGTTGAGTTTTCCTTCACCATAGTTGTAGTTGTTTTGCCATACAACCCATTCTAACACAATGTTTTGCATCAGATGATGTTATGGTGAAAATAAAGCTGTTAAATTGAAGTACTGCCAGCACATGAGCTGAAGGAGGGAATCAACTGCAGCTCTGTGCATTAAGTGAGAATGACGGCAACATTTGTGTTGATGTGTTTCCTTTACAGAAACTTCGTCAAGATATTCTGCTGATGAAACCTTATTTTATTACCTGCAAAGAGGCGATGGAGGCTCGGCTACTATTACAGGTCGGCAATGATTTACAGCATCTATTTACCACCAATCAAATTATATGTGCTCTTAAAATGTCATCAACAGGACAGTGGCCTGTGTAGCCCATTAGGAACATGTAACAACAGCACCACTGTGTGGTGGAGGTGAGGAACTGAATTGAGAAAGGTTGCTGTTGATAAACTTGCTGTGACACTGCAAGTCAGTTTATACAGATAAACCTGGCTGTTCCTTTTCAGAATAAACTAAAAAAAAAAAAAGGTCAATATTTGATCTTGGATGTTGGTGTGTCTGTTGGCTGCCACAGTTTGACCTCATGAAATAGTTTAATATCTGTTTGTGTGTCTGCAAGGTCGGGTCGCATTGTGTGAGTTGTCTGCATATGTTTTATAAACCAGTGGAATATTTCTTTAAAGAGTTTTTCACTGTGTGTGTTCTCCAGCTACATGATCGACAGCACTTTGTGGAGAACGACGACATGTACTCACTACAGGATTTGATCGACATCTCCAGTGGCAGACTCAGCTGTTCCCTCACAGAGATCCATACTACATTTGCTAAACACATAAAACTAGATTGTGAGGTGAGCTCATACATTAAACATAAAGGAAAGATCTGATGACACTGCTGATTTCTCTTTGTTAGAAAGTATACCACCGTATTAGGTAGTAGAGATCCCGTGGTCATCTGAGAAATCTGACTTTCTGTTCTATTTTGTGGGTGTGTATGTGCGTGCTGTATACTTGTGTGTTTGTGTTTGTGTAGTGTTGTCAAGCCAAAGGATTTGTGTGCGAGCTGTGTAAGGAGGGAGACATCCTGTTCCCTTTCGACAGTCATACCTCAGTCTGCCACGACTGCTCAGCTGTCTTCCACAGGTTAGTCACCAACCAGCCTAAGAGAATGTGTGAAGATGTTTTTGAAGAAAAATAGAACCTTGTAGTAGCTACTGGTAATCCCAAAAACCTTAAGTCACTGGTATAAACTAGTCAAGATTACTAGTTAACCTGAGCTGCTTTACGACATGCACTGAAATCCCTGTGAGTATGTGAGAATGCAAATGTCACTTCCTCCAGACATTTTCCTGAACTTTTCCCATCAGACTCCTCGTAAAATATCCGAGTGAGCCCATGTTATAATGCAGCAGGAACAAGTCTTCAAAAGTCACAGCTTGTGAGTGGGTGTGTTGATGATGTTTCAAACATGTGATGGACACTTTCCAGAAACTGGAAGAATACAAATATGTCAGGATAAAAAAGAGGTGCAATGCACATAGAAGAAGCTGATAAAGATTTAAACTTGGAAAGACAACAAGAATTTGATAGCTTTTGGTGATAAGTACCCACGCCGGTTTGGATGTGCTGTAAACACAAACACTGTGCTTCCTGCAGTGGAATTTAGGTCCTGCCCCCTGCACACTCTATCCAGGTGCCACCCGTCACCCACATGTTTAGGGCATGTTCCTGTTGGTGTGAGTGCGTCTGACCCAGACAGTCTCCTCCAGAGAAAAAGGCAAACAGCAATACTTTTAAACTGCATCCAGAGAAATAAGAAAAACCTGGAGACAACTGGTAGCAGCATGATGCAATTTCCCAAACACTGAGCCATGATTTAAAAAGCCATTACCCAGATAGATACATTAATCTGATGTATAGGTTATGTATAGATAATGTAACAATTAGTTACAGATTGTATTTCCCTCAAACATCCAGGATCTGCTTTTCTCTTATGATGGAATGCAATCGAATTGTTGGTGTTTGTTGTCTCTTTAGAGATTGTTACTATGACAACTCCACAACTTGTCCGCGATGTGCCCGAATGACTGAAAGGAAGCAGGACGACGAGTCAGATGTGAAAGACACGTAGCTCTGGAGAGGACCACCTGATATTACTGGATGTTGCACTTTGCCTCATGTTGTGTTCTCCCCCATCATGAAAGACTGATCAAAGCTTTTGGTTTGTGCGTATGTTTAACCTGTAGTGTTTTCCAGTGCACTAAATTATGAAGCAGAAACCCATCTGGAAATTAATATGTATATATTTGTAGCACTTTTTTTTTATTCCTGCTGTAATTGGATATACCGAACACTGTAGGTATGAAGTGAGGTAGTCACATTAGTGTCTGCTTGTATAAATGCACAATATAAAAGCCCTACAGTAAAAAGATACATGGAAGTAGGTGATTGTACATGCAGAAGCTCTATATCAATCCTTAAAAGCCTCAACTACATTCATCTATACTGCCAACTTTGCTGAATGCTAAACCTGAAGGTTGTTATATACAACAGTGGTACATTTTAACAGTAAAAGTAAGTTCAGCCTCCGAAGACAAAATTACATTAACCAAAAACTCACCCTTTAGTTTCCTGTTATGTTTTTATTTTAAAAATCTTGCAAACATGTTAGAAAGGCTAAGCTGTCAATTTCAAATTTATTTGGTCATGTAAGTTAGTATTGCATTTCTAAAACTCCAGATTGTTTACAAAAGGAAATTGATTAAATCTATAATCATAACATCACTGTACTTCTGTTTAACTTCATTTGACATAATCTGCCTCCACTTCCATCTGTTTATTTCACAAGTACTGACTCTAAAACAGTCTGTACTCGTCCTACGTCAGTGTTACGTGCCTGATTTCCCTTCAGCGTCATAATCTGTTGTTCTGAGAAACATTTTATATGGTCTTACAAATATTCTCAGGCCCTAAAAACAATATTTCTTCATAGCATCCTGTTTGCACATTACCACACAACATAGCTCTCCTCTGAGTCAGTTCATTTTTTCAATTAGCCATCCTGGATAGTGGGGGGTAAAAAAAACATGTAATTGTTTGACACTAAGGATTTATCTACACTCTTTAAAACCATAATTAAAATGATTGCGTATAATCAAAGCATGCACTACCAGTACATCTCATTGTGAGGATTTTAACTGATAAAGAAAAGAAACATGGGAGTTTAATATTCTTTTCCTTATATTCAGAACTGTGAAGTCATGTCAGCCAGTTTGATCTGTGTTTACTCTGCTTCAGTTCAGTGCAGCGTCAGTGTCGTGAATAGATGTGAACACTCATGAACATAGTGTGCCTACGATCGTCAGGTAACGTACAGCTGTTAACCTCATGTTAATAGTTCTCAGTCTCAACGTATCTATAGCACATTTTATCAAAGCGATGACCAAGATGTTACAGTGACACCTCTGGTAATAACGTGTAAATGTTGACCTCATCTATTTGTTTTAAAAATAATGAGTCTTGGCTGTGATATCTTCAGCATGATGTACTGTATTTTTTCAGACGTACATAGTGTTGGTTAAAGCCATGCCCTGTTGTGAAGTCATGTGGAGTAGAGCATGAATAAAGAAATGAAGTATATCAAGGCTGCAGCAGTTTGCATTTTGTGCCCGAGGGCCACAGGGTTGTACAACTACATTTTAGATTTTGAAAAACACTTTATTATAGCATCCTTCCATCTGTCCATTATCTTCACTGCTTATACTTCAAGGGTAATGGGGGGTGGGAGCCAATCCCAGCTGACATTAGGCGAGAGGTGGGGTACACCCTGGACAGGTCACCAGCATATCACGGATAGAGAGACAATCCTTCCCACCTTTAGAGTCTCCCATCTGCATGTCTTTGGTCTATGGGAGGAGGCTTGAGTTTTTTTTTATAACAATACATCATATTTTCTTTGCAAAATCTCCAAACTGCAAGTGTCTTCAGCAGTCAGATAAAGTTGAGCGGTAAAAACACTATCCCAACTTACTCTATGGGACATTTTCAACAAAGCCAAAGATGTCAGTACATATTTGTAGTAAAGAAGGAAAACAGCACTCACACCTGACAAGATGCAACCATAGAATGTTGTTATATTTTATTAAAAAACAAAATGACTGCAAACTAGAAAGGCACTCAGTGGAGTGCACACCTCCACAGCAGTTCCCTTATGAGACTGTTACATTTACATAAGATAAGTTCACTAGACCCGGATGTTTATTTAGCTCAGTAACAAATTCAACTCATGAATATCAGTGCCATAAACAAGATCTATAAATTAATATTAAAAATGATAAATGCCCTATCTCTCAATTTTAAAGAATATGACAATTAATTCCTGAATCCGCACCAAAATAAACAAATGCATGCAGAAGATATTCTCCCTGGCTAAACTAATTCATCTTCTGTGGATCGAGTAACTGAGTATAAATCTAAAGTTGCTTTGAATGAAAACACTATAATAATAATAACAGTTGTATTAGTATTGCCTCTTTTAAGGTGAACAAATAAAAACAAGAAAACAACAAATATTAGAAGCAAATTCAAACAATGTCATTTAAAATCAAGGACAGCAAATCATATTTAAAATGTTAAAAAAAAAAAGAACAGCAGATCAGAGAGTAAAAGGACAAAAGGTCCTAAATGTACAGTGAGCAGCTCCAGATAAAGAGGGCAGCCTGTGGAGCGCCTCCTCCGCTCCTCACGGCACATCGTGTTTAGTACACTGTGTATCTTTATATACAGTCTATGTGTGTACCACATGATGTGATGAGATTCAAACAAAGTCATCGTGCAGAGTTAGAGTCCTGAACACAACATGTGCGACAGAGGTGACATGAGTGGCTCCTGCATGGAGAGGAGTGGATTCAGCGGGGAGAGAACAGAATGTACCCGATGAGCCTCTCCATTGTGTGGGTCCTGCGTGAGATACACGCCCCCTGAAGCAGGAGCCTGCAGACCAGCACCGACACAGACAACTCGGGAAATTCACGTCAAACTCACCTTTGTCTTGAGTGACTGTGATCTCGCGTGCATCTTGTCGGCAGCGGGTGTTGTGGCTCCTCGGTGGCTCGGACGGTGCAGCGAAGTGAAGCCGGGAGAAGAAGCTCACTTCATGGCTCTCCTCTCCGTGAGCGTCGGTCCTTTCCGGAGCCGAATGCGGACGGTCCGGACGTGGAGCCGAGACTTGTTCACGATCCCGGCTACCTTCCACTGCTGCGGCGCCCTGGAGGCGGTACGGTGACACGTGTTTATTACAGAAACTCTATCGTCTCTAGAAATATAGATTCATGCATTGTGTTATTCACAGCTGGGACTTTGATATGCATGGAACAACGGTGTGTTGCAGGTGTTGCAGCCCTGAATTACTTTGGTCCTGTTCAGACCTGATGTTAGTGGACAGATCACATCTGGAATTTCTGCAGCACTGTTTGTGTATCACTCATTGATATGCTATCGCCTCTTAGTTGCATTCACTTTTTTAAAATGGCTCAAGCAAACGTTAGCAATCATATAGAAATGTTAACTGCATCTTCAATAATAGTAATAAGGAGGGACTGAATAGTTATAAAATAATGTGCATGTAAAAGACACTCCGTGTGGGGGTGGGGGTGGGGTGGGGGGTTGGGGGTTGAATGGACTGTCTCACTTGCAGGTTTGATTTCTCAGTGACTGGATTTTCAAAATAACCAAATATTTTCAAAATAAGATGTAACAGAAGTTATTGCTTGACACAGATTTGACTTTCTTCTGAGGACTGTGTTTTTCTGCCGAAGTGGAACAAACCAGAGAAGCAGTCATTTGTACCTGATCATTACAAGAGCTGCTCTTCAACTCATGTGTTTTATAACCGTGAACTTATTCTGCACGATCATTTATTGACACTTGTTCCATTGTAACAAAAACATGTAACACACTGTGTAACACACTCTCATTTACTTCACCACCATCCCTAAGCTGTACCATTATAATGGGAAATGTCTCTGCCTGCTGGACTTTGGATGTTAGATGTTCAGCCAATATTAGCTGTAACTTTGGGTTATATGGGGGCAGATATGTAGAGAAATTTATACGATCCGTTGACTGAAATTGGACTGAAATGTTTTTTTTAATTCAAGATTTATCTTATTATATTTGTTAATAATTTATTTAGTTTTCATCTACTCCATGATTTAAAATATGTAAACATGTATTTACATCAATCTTACCAGGATGTTTTTCATATATTTTGCACTTGTGTGGAAGAGAGGTGTATTTTACCCACAGTCTGTAATCTCATAGGAGGATTTCCTCTATGTTTAATATGCACAGATGACAGCTACAAGTAAAATCTCAGGTGGCCAACCTTATTTATAGTGGTCTGCAGGAATAACCAAATTAAGTCAAACTAAAATAACATGTGAGCTGTGTAGCAGCTGCTAACTGTCAAATTTAACTGTGTTATCTGTGACTGTGTTATAACAGCTTTATGAAAGTAAGTTGAGAGAACCCAGGTCATAATGAGATTTCACTGATCCTGTGTATAATATGGTTTTGGGGAAAACAGACAGATATCAAGAGCTAGTGTGTGTGACTGGTTCATATCAGCAGTAGAAACCATTACATGTAAGATGTTTATTTGATGTCTCTGTGTAATTCTTTTCTTTAATGCTAATATTCATCACATACTGTTGTTTTTGTTTCAGACGTCAATAATCCAAAGGAAACTTCTATATCAACACAGACTCTCACTCACTCGGTTACTCAGCTCCAACAAACCACCAAGAGGTAAAGTACCTCCTGTATAATGTAGCTGAATGAGTGGCGTGAAGCCTTTTTGTTCTATTTGAGGTATTTGTACTTAATTCTCTTGTTCTGTGTGTTTGTCGTTGGATTGGTTCAGGTTTTGAAAAGTTTTTCCCAAAGAGTGAAGCGAGCGCAGGCGCCAAAAAATCAGTGGAAGGTGAGTGGAGGATGTGATTGTTGAAAACACCATCTGTACATTGTCTCTCCTCAGATCTGCTGCAGTTAATGGTTTGATCCCTGTCACGTTTTAGCTGAAAGTCCCAAAGAGCAGGAGTCTCCTGGAAGCGACTCAAACAACGATGATGGTGAAAGACGAAGAGGAGGAAAAAAGGAAGAATCACATTGGTGGACAAAATTTCAGGTGCAAACAACTGACTCTTTTTCAAGTCGTTGATGCAGAGTAATAATACATTTTATATTTGCAATACATTACATGTCATTTAGCTGACACTTTTATCCAAAGCGAAAATAACTAGCGAGGAGGGCCGGTTCTTGTCGCTGTCTATCTTCTTCTGGAGAATTAAACGCACTGCAAATAGAAAAAACAACTTCATCAATTTGACAACACATGAGCTGCACAAAGTTACAACACAACGTGCTGCAAATAATCAACCAATCAGTTCAATTCTTTCTCCTTTATCTTCCAGGAGGATTTCCCCTTGGATAAAAAAGTGTTGCAGAATGTTGCCATCGGAGCGGCAGGCATGGCCTCAGCTTTTCTCTACTTTTACTTCAGAGAGACGGGCATCCAGATCTTGTGGAAGGACTTTGTGCATCACTACTTGAGCGGAGGCTTGGTAAGAGGAAGAAGAGTATTTATATCTTCTGTCTCTGATCTCTCTGTGTTTCATGTGGACAAATTGGTTCTTGATCTACGCAGGTGGATCATCTGGAGGTTGTCAACAAACAGTACGTCAAAGTTTATCCGACACGAGGAGTCAACACATCAGAAGTGGTTAGTTGCTACAAAATGCTGTCACATCCTTCTGCTTCCACAACTCACCACATTATGAAATGATCAGGTGTTTATGACCATGTGGTTTGTGTTGTCTGTGTGTTTCAGAGCTATCTGTGGTTCAACATTGGCAGTGTTGACTCGTTTGAACATAACCTGAAGATGGCACAGCAGGAAATAGGCCTGAACTCCCCGCACAAAGTACCTGTGTACTACAGCACTCAAAGCGATGGGTGAGAACTAGAACTTAACTTCTGTACATATACTTTTTCCTCCTGTGGATCCTGGTGTAATTGAAGTTCTCTTTCTTCCTCCGCAGGGCGCTTCTTGCCAGCATTCTCCCATCTATTCTTATTGTTGGACTTTTGTTTTTTGCCATGCGGCAGGGACCCATGGCAGGTGGACGTGGAGGTAGTGGGCGAGCAAACCCCTTTAGCATGAGCGAATCCAAAGCCAAGATAATCAAAGACAACATCAGCGTGCGTTTCAAGGACGTTGCAGGCTGCGAAGAAGCCAAACTGGAGATCTTGGAGTTTGTCAACTTCCTGAAGAACCCATGTCAGTACCAGGGGCTCGGAGCCAAGATCCCAAAGGTGTGAAATATTTTCATAATGGATGAGTCAATGACAAGCCCAGTGATTTTTTTTTTTATGGTCAGTATGTGCTACAGTAACTTTCACTCATTTTCACATCTTTATCCTCAGGGTGCAGTGCTGTCAGGGCCACCTGGAAATGGGAAGACGTTGCTCGCTAAGGCGACTGCAGGGGAAGCCAATGTCCCCTTCATCACCATCAGCGGCTCAGAGTTCCAAGAAATGTTTGTTGGTGTGGGCCCAGCTCGGGTGGGTACTCAGCTGCATTACGACTGCCCAGGAGTCTGGGAGCCGAATGATGGGTCACATGTAGTTTATTCTCCTGTCTGACCACATATTAGTTTAGTCAATTGCCGGTGTGTTGAGCATAAAACCATGTACTGAATACAAAGATGGAGGACGTGTCTTTCTTCCACTGTCCAGAAATGAAACTACATTATCTGAAGGCTGCCATCTTGATCATCATTTAGAGTCAGGGGTCTGCACAGTAGCAATTGGGTGATGGAACCGCCGCACAGAGGTCCTGTCTATACACATGCTCAAGAAACTGCGAGCCAGACTGAGCTGTCAATCATGACGTTTCATTTCCTGTTTTTATAGCATCAAAGAGCTAATTAAAACCTAACAAAAGTTACAGAAACAAACTTTGAGTTAAATTTATTTGACATGTACTTTGACTTTTTAGTTTTGGTCCATGTCCCATTAAATAACGTGGAGGGTGTGACATTTCTGACCTATACTGCAGCCAGCCACCAGGTGGCTTTTGAGGCGCTTTGGGTTCACTTTTGAGGAGCAGTCATGTCGTCCATCTTTATGTACACTCTATAAACACACCTTTTCTTCCTCTCGGGATAATACTGATTTCTCTTTGCCCTGTCCTGTATAAGATAAGGGACATGTTTGCCAAGGCTCGAAAAAACGCCCCCTGCATCCTCTTCATTGACGAGATCGATGCTGTGGGCAGGAAGAGAGGGAACTCTGGCGACCAGAGCGAGCAGGAGAACACACTTAACCAGTTGCTGGTGGAAATGGATGGTAGGCAGTAATTTAACTTCTGTCAGGGTTTGAACTTCTCTCCCATCACTGGTGTAAAATATAACACCTCCATAACACGTGTCTTCTCTTCAGGGTTTAACAGTAGCACCAACGTGGTCGTTTTGGCTGGAACCAATCGAGCTGATATCCTGGATCCAGCTCTGATGAGGCCTGGACGCTTTGATCGACATGTATACATTGGTACAGTGATGCACTTATATCAATTTCTTGCTCTCTTTATGCATCCTTAGACCTACAGTGTATACATGCTGTCGCCCCCTTGTGGCAGCAAGGGTCATAACATAAAAACTGAGAAATTGCCACAGTTCAAAGTTAGTATTTTCATTATGTGCTCAGAGTAAATGTAATTACTACATAACATTCTTTAGGTATTTAACAAAGTCTACCATGTCCAAGATAAGACAAGACACACTGTTGATCTTTTGAGAGTCACAGGGCTAGAGCCAATCCCAGCGGATATTGGGAGAGAAGTGGGGTACACCACGGACAGGTGGCAGTGTGTATTACACACTGTGCACTTTTATTTAAAGGGTTGATCTTTTTCTGCCTGCAGATCTAATTTGCTTTACACCAGCAGGCTGGGATAATGGTGGGCAGGGCAGTTTTCTCTCTGACAAAGAAACTGTGTCAAACTGAGAGAGCTAGCTTTTTTATAAAAGAGGGATTAGATAAGTGGAGGCCAACACGAGGGAGCGATTGGACACACAGTTTCTTTGTTCCCTCTGTCCAACAGTGTTGGTGAAATAATATTGCTTAAAACATATTGATGATTAATGTTTTATCAGCTGGTTAAATAATTTGATGGATCATTATGTCACTTATTTAAAAATAAGAGTGTTTTAGTTTGCATGAATAAGCATAAATAATGCGCTCTGGCAAGGTGCTGCAAACATAATCAATGCTTCAAGCTCTGATCTGATTGGTCCTGCAGATGCCCCCTGAGGTTATTCCTTGTTATCGGTTTGAAAGAAGAAAAGATCATTCATCGTCATTGACCTAATGACTCTCCTCTTCCATGAGAACAGTCGTCCTCCTTTCAGAGCTGATGCTGCTGTACCAGGATTTTCTGTGTCTTTCAGTTTGATGAGTTTTATCCTTTGACACTAATAGTCTGAATTTGACTTGATGTGACTTCCTCTTGTATGCTGCTGTTGAAGTAAATGAATCCACACACTACCTTGGTGTCTATGGTAGTTGTAGCAGTCGCAGGTCTTTTTCTTTATCTTACTTTGCTGAGTACTTCAGTCCTAATCTTTCCTTTGTTTTAAAAAAGCAGATGCTCTGAATGGCACAAGATATAAACTTCAAGATATTTCTGTTTTCTTGTTTTGTTTTCCACAGGCCCACCAGACATTAAAGGAAGAGCGTCCATCTTTAAAGTGCATTTAAAACCTCTGAAGCTGGACTCCAGTATAGAAGCAGAGGCTCTGGCCAGAAAACTAGCTGCACTAACCCCAGGTTTTACTGGTAGGAACAACACGTTAACATTTATTTACACACACCTCAGTCTCTCCATCAGTTTCACAGTGGACGTACAATTCATCTTCTGTGTCTGTTCTTGATTTTCCTCCTCACGTCACATCCCAGTCTAACTTGATTGTGATGTCGTCTTGTGTGTACCAGGGGCTGACATCGCAAATGTGTGTAATGAGGCAGCTCTGATCGCTGCACGACACCTCAACCAGCACGTCAGCACGAAGCACTTTGAACAGGCAGTTGAAAGAGTAATTGGAGGTAAGTTAACAGCCACATTCATACACTTGTTATTATGACAATACTCATAAAACGACTGTGTGATGACGGTTATACACCTTAATCAAGCCAGTCAGCAGTGAATTCAATGGTCTCTAAGTTTTGATCAACTATATACTCTTAGTTTATATTGATTATTATTTCATATTGATCCATAAATTTGAACTTATCCTTTAATTTAAAAAAAAGGCTTTTAATATACTAACTTACATTACATCCTGTCACACATTATCACATTCAGGCTTCTCTTTAAGGATTTCACTGTTTCTACTGTACTAACAGTGTGATTTCATTAGAGCGTGACTGACCACGATGAGCTTTTCACACAAGTATTGGTATCAGTGTTTGCCAATATGAAAACTTTTATTTTACACAATAAACAATTCAGAAATGAAACGAATTTCTTTGTTTTCTTTTTATGTGTTGTTATTCTTGTTAAAGTTTATGGTTAAAATGTAAAATATCAAGCTTCCCACGTCTGAGGAATAATCGCCAAATCTTTTTAAATATTGTTATCGGCTCTAGATTTCATGCATGTTTGGCTCCATCAACCCAACATCCCCTCAACTGTGTTCAGACAGCACATCAGCTCTGATAACGTGCTGTGTGCAGAAAAACAAGCAGTGTTAGACTTTCTCCTTTTTCTCAGGTTTGGAGAAAAAGACTCGGATCCTGCAGCTTCCAGAGAAAACCACTGTGGCTTATCATGAGGCTGGACATGCTGTGACGGGCTGGTTCCTAGAACATGCAGACCCTCTGCTTAAGGTATTCAGACTGATTCACCATAACCTTTGGTGTCGTCACCTCTATTGAAAGTCAGATCTCCACCATATGATTATACTGATTATTAGATTGATTGTAATGTCCTCTCTCAGGTGTCCATTGTCCCCAGAGGGAACGGTTTAGGTTATGTCCAGTATCTGCCTAAGGAGCAGTACCTGTTCACCCGGGAGCAGCTGTTTGACAGAATGTGCATGATGCTGGGCGGCCGTGTGGCTGAGCAGGTTTTCCTCCGTCGAATCACCACCAGAGCACACAATGATCTCAGGAACGTCACGCAATCTGCCTACGCACAGGTAATCAGCATGTTTCACCACAAACCTGTCCATAGATACACAAAGCTGTAAGGTACTGTACGTGATTCTGGATTGAAAGAAATGCTTGGTAGTTGTAGATGAAGTCGTTAAAAGAGAAGTAGTCTGATAATGACAGATATTGATACCTGAATAAGAATAAATGTGGAAACTAGCTGTTTCATCATGATGTTAAGTTTTTAGGTCTGATTTTTTGAAACATGGATTCATTATTCTTTCATTAGAACGTCATGTGCTGCATCTTGCAGACAAAGCTGAGAGATCAGCCTTATAGTGCTAATGTTCTATTCTGTCACATTAATGCTCCTTTCTCTTCATGTTTTAGGTCGTACAGTTTGGGATGAATGAGGCAGTGGGCCAGGTCTCCTTTGACCTCCCTCAGCAGGGCGACATTGTTGTTGAGAAACCCTTCAGTGAACCCACAGCCCAGCTCATAGACCAGGAGGTCCGCCTGCTCATAGATGCTGCCTTCCAGCGAACACTGCAGCTTGTCACTGACAAGAAGGAGATGGTGGAGAAGGTAAGAGCAGATTGAGAAAGATAAAGCTGAGCAGTGTCTTTACTCTAAAGCTGCTCCCAGAAGAGAATGATACAACAAATTATGAAGAAAAACTGAAAGAGATGACGATGAATAAGATGTCGTTGAAGAGTGTCATCATTTAAAATACTGTTTTTGAATTCTTTCTTCATTAATACCACATGCATTTGAATAGATGATGGAGCTTACTTTAATTGATATTGTTTATCAATTGAAATAATCGTTGTTTCCTGTTGCAGGTGGCAAAATGTCTTCTAGAAAAAGAGATGCTCGATAAGGCTGACATGGTGGAGCTGCTCGGACCTCGTCCCTTTCAGGAGAAGTCGTCGTATGAGGAGTTTGTTGAAGGGCTGGGTGAATCTGAAGAAGACACCTCTCTTCCTGAAGGGCTGAAGAACTGGAAGGAGGGCAAAGGGAATGAAAAACACAATAAATCAGCCATTTACTTGTAGCTGCCTGTTGGCAAATATTCCACTGGATTCTGGTAAATATAACTGAAGTAAGTACGGCACCGTCTGGTCCAGCCTGCAGCCTGTTGGGACTCTTAACATGCAACTTTTTTATTTATTTTTTTAATTCCAGCAGGAATTCCAAAAAGTGCATAATTATTATAGTCAGGAGAATTTAAACCATTAAGCTATAGCTCTCAGCACAGTGCACTTTGTAGCATACGTTTCACCAGAGGTGCCTTCTGTTCCTCCTCTCCCACAGTCTGATGCCGTCCTATAGTGTGATGACACTGATAACATGCAACAGAACAACTGGGAGTCATGGACAGGAGAGTTACTGAGCTCAAGCAGAAAAAAGACCTTCTGTGAAAGGCACAGGACTTGTATTGGTCAAGCTGCTGTTCTGGTATCATCACATTTTCATCATCAAAGTTTTCCAGCCTCACTCAGTGCACATGCTTTGTTCTTTAGCCTGTGGTAAAGAATTCCCCAAGTCAATTCATCTACGTAACGTAAAGTCAAATGTGTGAAGAAAACACATTCTTCGTCTTTTCTTTCTCAGATGCATTTGACTGTTTCCTTTACATCATTGTCACATGAAGACATTCTTACTGATTGAGTTGGGACTTTGTCTCAGTGTAAATACACAAATGCAGTGCCTGTCGAGCTGGAGCACGACCTTCGACCTTAACTGATGTAATCAGTGACATAATCAATTGGTTGTTTCTCATTTCAAGAGAAACCATAGTAACAGCTAGAGCTGTTTTACGATTTTAGATCAAAGTCAATTAAGTCGATTTTCTCAGGAACCACTCATCAAAAAAATGGATGACCAGTTATTGAGAAAATCAACAGACAGACTCAGAGAGGTCGTAGGTAGATTTTCACCCCATCATCATCCTTCTGAAAACTTCCACCATCCTCAGACTTGTTCTCATCAATGTAAAGACAAATATTTTCATGTGCACTTAATGAGTTGTTGGTGTTAGTGAACTTAAGGTTGATTTGTGAACTTCGTGCTGGAAATAACTGGGCTGAGTATAAATCCGATATAAGCTACTGTAAGGAACATTTTGTCATCCAAACGTGAGCGGACTGATTTATGTATGATAACCTTGAAATTGTGTGTTTGCTTCCTGTTTGACAGGGCACAGTTTTTACTTGATCGTTTTTTACAACTATTGTCACTTCACTTTGTCAAAGTTTCTCTTAAGGGACAATGTGATTAACAACAAAAATTCAATGTAACGTTTTATTCTGCCATTACTGCACACTTTGCATGCGTGGTGCTGTCAAATAAATGCTGTAGTGTCACAAAATCATACTTTTGTACAATTATTTTAAGTATTATCTATATATATATATATATACATTGGCTCTTTTAACTTGATCAGTCACACAAACACAGGCTTTTTTTTTTTAAGACTTGTATTTATTCTTCTGTCATCCCTGTAGTCTCACATCTCCACAGTGCTGTGTCAGCACCATCCCCGTATCGCCATTGATCCATTGTGTCAGAGTGTTCAGAATTATTGGCATGCCTGGTTTAGACAAGCTCAACGTGAGATAAATAAATCAAGAAATCAGCTGTTTCCCTTTGCTTCGAGGGATGAGAAATATTGCATTATAAAGTCAGATTTATCAGAGAAAAGATGATTACAAAAGTGTTGGCACTTTGTATTTTTTGGCATTCCTGCAAATGTGATACCTTCGTTCCCTTCAGCTCCAAGAACAATGGAATTTGGCTACCAACTGATTTTTGGATTGGCAACGAGTTATGCAGCTGTGACTGGCATTTTCTACAATTCTAAAAATCTAAATTTGATCTTAACAAAAGTCTGAGCTGCTACTTGGTCCGTTTATCATTTTAGTTATCTGCACCAAGTGCCAATAATTCTGGAGGGCACTGTAAATATGATTCAGTGAGACAAGTGCAATGTTTATATAGATTCATTTAAAATAACACAAATCCCTCAGTGATATGGAGAAGGTCTGATCGATAGAAATTTGCTTCACTGAAACCCACTGTATAAGTCGCCTTATTTACAGGCAACAGAAAACCCTGTCATGTTATCAAGCAGCACATGAAGTAACGGCCTCAGCGTGATATTTAACAGCTTTATTGATATGTTGTTTTAGCTCATGTCCTGGTCTTTCAATGTGAACCCCAGTGTCTGAACGTCACATGGAAGATCTAGCTTCAGGCTGGGCTGGGGAGGCTACTGTTAGAGCCATTCTCAAATCTCCAGCCACTGTTTCCTACCCTGAGAGGCTGTGAGGATGGAGGTTACTCTGCTGACCTCATACCCTGTTATATCATTCAAAAACAAAACTGGAAAATCTTCTGGCAGCCCAGAGTGCATCGATAACCCCGTTGCATGAACATCACCATGACCGTGTGTGTTTGTGTGTGTGTGAGAGGAGAGGGAGAGAGGAGATTGTGTGTTGCACAGCTCAACATCTTTAGTTATAGGCCAGAGCACAGTGTCCAGAGTTCAACCCGAACTCGTCTATTCAGCACCATGAAACATTATGTGAGTGCACAGTGGCAGATGGGGGGGGCCTCGCGGTCCACTTTGTGTTCCCCTTCTGGCTTCGTCTGTCTGGCTCGGGCTTTTTTCTCTCTCTGCGGTCCAGCCGGTTCACCACAGATGTTGTCGTCATGGTTGCTTGGGCCTCTCCAGCTTCATCAAGGGCTCGGCAGTGTCAGAGTCGCTGTGGTGTTTTCTCTCTCGTGGGGACTCGACTTTGCTGCAGCGCGTCCATGAGGGGGAGCGCATGTACCCACCTCTGGGCAGCACCGGCTGTTGGGAACCTGGGAACCAGACACACACAGTGACTGGTTACTAACATGAATCCAAAGTCTTGGCAGCAGACGTACAGTAAATACCTGCAACAATCAATGGATAGGCAGTATAGATGATGATTGGATGGATGGATGGAAAAAACTGTATACAAATATCTACCACACGTAATCTCACTGCAGTCACACAACTTGTGTTTTCACCATACAAAGAAACATATTTCTAGTTTTGTTGTTAGTGCCCCTTCACACCACTTGGTGGTGGTGTCCAACCAACAGAGACTACCACAAGGCAGCAGAGGGAAGAATGACTGACTGATAAAGAGTCGGCACCTCACTCCACCTTTCACTGCTCATATCAGTCGAATCTTGGCTGTCCTAAGTGAATGTTATACTCAGTACATGGCTTATACATCTCCCCAAAGTCCCATCCATATCCTTACACACACTGGAGAGAGGAAGAGGAAGGGGAGGAGAGAAAGGACATATTGATCTTAGAAGATTGATGGCATCTCCGCTTGGTTTTAATGGGGAGGACAACAACAACATTCCTCAAAGCATTCTGCAGCATTGTGTGTCACAAACACCGACTGATGATGACTGGTTGTCTTAGAAGTATTATATAGATGCATATCTTCAATGTATTTGTATAGAGACATATTCATGTCTCTATAATGTACATATTTCTCTTTCATTGTGAGTGCAGATTGCTGTTGACCTGTTTGTACCCTGACATCTAATTAAAAAGACTGATGAACATGAATTCAGTAAAAACTAATTTGAGACACAGTGAGGAGTGTTAGCACATCTAAGAAGTATATTAAGAACAAACCTTCCCACCGTATAAATAGATTTTCTGTGTTTTCTGTCTCTTCTTTGTGTCTTTTGCTCTCTCTCTCTCTGTCACATACACTGAATACCCTGAGCTATTTGGTGCTCTGCTGTGTTCCGTCTGTGCCTCTGGCGAGCAGCCATCCAGATTCTTCAGTCAGCGTGTTGCTGCATAACTTGTCTTTTTAGAAACACTAGACGCTGTGAAGGCACAGACCAAACATGCTGCAGAACACTATATGTTCATCAATGTGCACAAACACCCTCTTTCAGCCCATTATTTTGTGTGCATGCTCATCCTAGCACAACCCAACCAGTCTTTGTGGACTGGGGCCGGTATCAGACGCTGATATGGAATCTCATTAAAATCCTGCAGCGGCCCCAAAGGCAGCAAGTTGAGCTGGAGTCTGACCTTTCACATTCAAAGCAGTTTTTACAGAGGGACTATAAAGTGCAGTGTTAGGTTCCCTAAAGGATAAGTATCATATGAGACAGAAAGACAGTCTCTCTACGGGCTGAAACTTCCCAGCATGCTTCACTTCTACGTTCAAAGTGGAGACGTCACTGCAGGTTTTAGGGATAGGATACTCGTACTTTGACATCAATGACTAGGGCAGTTGTAGTTTTAATATCATACGTTTTTTTGGTGTGATTCCAACAGTTGTTTGGATTTGTTCCTCATTGTTCCTCTTTGCCCCGATACAACCTTTCCACCACATTTCAATGAAATCCATTCTGCAATTGTTGCTTCATATAGCCAACAAACAAATATCAATGAAAACATAACCCCCTCGGTGTGGTTAATGACATCATATTATTGATTGAGAGGGATACATGCTGTGGTCAGAAAAATCCATGGATGGACAACGACTTTAGTCAGCTTTAGTTTTTACTATCAATTTTTTTTGCCATAATTTCATCACTCCGTCATTCGTCTATTAAAGACATCCTCGTCCAAATCCTTGAAACAACCCTCGATAAAGCACTTGACCATGAAAACATCCACACAACATCAACACAATAGGTCATAGTTTGCAATGTCATCTGTTACTGCTCCAACAGCAAAGAATAGGAGGTGAAAGCTGCGCCTGTGGTAGTTTGTTGATGAAACTTTATGGTTCATCGAACTCATTTGAGCTTAAAAACAAAGAGCAAAGCAACTGGACAAAGTCAGCCTTTTGTTCAGTGTCTCTGGAGCTGCTCTAGAACGAGACGCTTGATGAAACATTGACTGTATGTTCACAGTATTCTGGATTCCAGCAGTGAAGTTCAATTAATCACGTTCACTAGTTTTGCTTGAAATATCCCTGAAATGATCAAATGTACATTTACTTTTCAAGCTGCAAATGGCTGAGAGTGAAGGGAGGGACATGGGAATGAAGAACAGGAAAATGGAAAACTGAGTAAACACAAACAAACAAGACACATGTATCTATAAATAATGCAGTGTCGTTCTGCGAATTATGAAAAGTGTGTAAATGGCTTTTGAAGGACTTTGTTTCTGCAGGGAAAAGTAAATTATTTAGGATCCTATTTAGTATGAACTCACTAACCCATCTCCTGTTCATCTCCTCTCTCTACTTCCTTTAACCTCTCCTTCAACTCATACCATGCCCTCCAAACACTCAGCAGTTTCCCACAGAGCCTAATGCTCATGCAGCTCAGCTATATAATACCTGACCCACATTTACAATGCAAACTTTGACATAAATTAGATAAAGTAAATACTATTTCTCCCCGACTCTGAAATCACTGGTGACCTTATGAGCAAATAAATCAATTATCTCTTCTGAAACTGCGTTTGTCACAATTCAGTTCACAGTATTTCAGGGTTATAGTTATAGCAGGGTTGTTCAAGACAAGAAAACTTACCCTACATGAAATTACAAGGTTAAATAATGAGGGAGGTGGAGGAGAATACAGATGAAACAGAACAGCTGGTACATACAACGGAGATTTGTGCAGTAAGTTGCTGTTTGGATATGTCCTCTCTCTCTTTCTCTCTCTCTCACACACGCGCACACACACACGCGCGCACACACACACACACACACACACACACACACACACACACACACACACACACACACACACACTGCACACACACTGCACACACACTGCACACTACAACAATTTTATCCACAATGACTTATGGCCACAAAACTGCTTCCCCATTCAGCCCTGGTGTTATTCAAACCACTGACCCTAGCAGTCCACATATTTAGACCATTTGTGTGTTGACACAGCTGAATGGATTTCAAGAGTAAATAAATCCTGTAAGCTTAGCTGATTACATTAAGTTGTTACATTTTTGACAGACAGTGATTCCTCAGCCTTTATTTTGTTGCCAGAGACCAGATCAGTTTATAAAATAAAATATGTTTTGTGAGGTCTCAGCCACCTTTAACTTGGACCTTTGACCACTATATTCAAATCGGTTCATCCATGAGTGCAACTGAACGGTTGTACCAAATCTGAAGAAATCATCTCAGGGTGTTCTTGAGATATCGTGTTCACAAGAAGGGGACACAACCTGAAAACATAAAACTGGCTGTTGCCGGCGTGGAGGCATAAAAACATTATGTAGAAACAGTCGTATTCCATGTCTTAAATAACTGCATCACTTTCCATGAATCTAATATAGATCTATAAGAAAAAAACCTGATAGCT